TTCACTTTGGAGGTGTGTGAAGTTGTGTGGTATTTGCAATGTGCTGTATGTGGTTTTGTGATGTTTACTTTGGAGGTGTGTGAAGTTGTGTGGTATTTGTGGCACGTCCTTGAAAGGAGACAACTCACTGCCAATACTCTGTACTGTTTGAACAAGTGACGTTATGCTGCAAGCTCAATTGATGTCACCTGACCTGAGAAGTCACTGGTGCCATAAGTGACAGCACTTAATTTGGTATAACAATATTAAACTCTGGTTAGGTTTGGTACATCCTTAGATGGCAGCAGGTGTATGCTGCTGGTGCTGGGGTGAGCCTCGATATCTACAACTCTAAGCAGGTGAGTAGTACAAGCAACTGTCTTCATGCAGCTTATGTTGCTCTCTTTGAACTTTAAACATATGTAACTTTGAAAGTACAATTTACTGCATCCCAATATACACCTACATTGTAATTAGCATTTTTTCCTGACTGTTAATCAATCCTGTATTTCATAATCTCATCATTCCCAAATGGATGCCACCTGCTTTTCCCTTTTCAGGCCTTGGCAACATAGGCACAGGAAATTAATTTGGATTCGTCATCAGTGCAAGAAAGCATACCCACACTGACGTCCTCCAGAGTGGCCTGCCAAGTTTTGATCGGCTCCAACCATGTTTAACAAAGCACAGTGTCGTCACGAAGCTTTAAAATCTGGCCACAGAGTTTGAACATTTTGGGTGCGTCACTTCCATTCTGAAATGTTTCATCTGAAACAGCATTACAATTGCTTGAAGTTTTTTGTTACAAAACCCAAATCTACATGTACCCGGTATCTCTAAAGATGCACAGCAAACTGCTACACCCATGCCTCCACAAAGGCTTCCAAGATTTCAGCTTGCTATCAGCTCCCCTGCAGCCATTAAGTTTAAAATTTATAACTTGGGCAATGGTCCTTCTCATGGTGGTTGTGATTGGGAGGAGGACAAGATGGGGAGGGTGGGGCAGGAGGGGGTACAGTAAGGGGGGAAGGACATGAAGCATTTACCTGTGATCTTGCCACGCGTTTGCCACAGCCGCAAGTTACTGGTGCATCGGGACATTCTGTAGTATGTTTCTGTTTACCAAAATGAACAGTCAAAATTATATGCTTTTTTGTCCTCAATACTTAACGCCCCAAACTACATGTACATGTATATACAGATGTCTAACACAAGTGGTACATGTAAATATGAATGGTGCTTGAAAGCTGAACATGCAGTACATGCAGTGCCAGCAGCAGCGAAGGCCAGTTGTGAGGCCATTAACCTTAACCCCCCTAGGGACCATTGAAATCCTGCCCAACCTTGTTGGGATCAGCATGGTTAGGGTTAATAGGCCCCATCCCATTATGGGCCCTGTAAAAAAGTGGGGCGGGGCACCAGCCCCCCTGGCCTTCCCACTTCCACCGCCAGTGCGTATTTCTCCTTTGAAAGTAAAACACATATCATGCAATATGAACTATTTTTCAAATTATGTCACACTATTAAATTCAGCAGGAACTCAATGCGGAAACAAGGGAATTTTTCCAGGCTCCTCCACATGAATAATACCCACTGTACAATGCCGTTGGACCAGTGCCATTTTCAGAATTGTCACGTCACAGTTGAGTGTGGTCCAAACCTAGGTAGAAATTTCTAGCAATGATAACAACGATTATAAAATGTGAGGGACGGACAGACACTTCATTTAAAAAGTTAAGTTTTGAAATACGGGAAGAGTCACTTCGGGGCAACATTTCCAATATTGTCCGTCCCTCACATGTTAGAATCATCTTTTTTTTCTCAAGGCACATACTAAATAAACAGGATTTAAAATATATCCTATCTGTTGGTATTGATGATCATCAATCACTACTTGCATACAAAATTATTCGCATCTTGGCTTTTATTGTATGAAGTTATACCTCTTAATTATCGTGCGGGACAGACATGTCCGTCCCTCATGATAATTAAAATGATAATTCTCAGGCCACAAGCAATGTATTACATATGCCAACTTTGCAGGGTTTAATGATGCTGATAAACCAAACATTAATATGGGTAAGTCCAACTTTCTCCTTCTTCTATACCAATTATCTGGAGATCATCTACATGTACATACTTGACAAAAAAGCAGTAATTTGTTAATAAACAGTGTACAGCATGGCACTATACTCTTCAACCCATTTTCCAAGACCACCATTTTCCAAGACCGCCTTCTGTCCAGCCCCAGAAATTGATATTTTCTCTGTCACAATTAATACATTCTAACCTATATGTACCCCCCACCTGGCCAGGATTTATTTCCTCTTGAGGGGGCGGGGATGAGGTATCTTATAGGTGAGAGAGGGTCCATTCAGGGGTAGGTACTTATAAAAATAATTTTAATTAGGGCATAAGAATGATGCCAGGTCTATTTTTGAAGCAGGGGTGTCAAAGGGATTCTACTTGGAACAGAGTACATGTATGTACAACATGAATGAGGCAGAATCAACCATTCTGCATTAACCTCCTTCTATCAAAATCGTATGCTCTTGCATGGTGGCAATACTGTATGTTGACTTCTTAATAGTCTCATTCACAGAGAAGTGTGCTTTATTGTACACTGAGAGTAAAACCCAGTCAATAAAAAGCAATGACCAGTGCACAACGGCAGTCTAAGTATACGGAAAATCACCACCTAGAAATCAGAAACAGGGAAAAGCTACGGAAACAAAAAGCATTAGCAAAACATTGGGAAGCATGTACCAAATCTTCAATTTGTAAACTTTCAGAGTGATGGATGTGCGGTCCAATTCAAGTCACGATACACGTTTGCATTACTGTGTGAATATATCCAAGAGAATTGACCATAACCTGGAACTATTGTGAGTCCCATCATGGCCAGGGAGTGGTGGATGCCATTGGCGGTACTGCGAAAAGTTCAGTATTCAGAGATGTTATGGCCCCAAAAATTGTCTTAACATCAGCTTCTGAATTTGCCTCATATGCAGATGAGATACTCAAAACACAAGTACTGTATCTTAATCTGTCCGAATCTCTGACATCAGCAACTGCAGTACCTGCGACTCTGCAAGTTCACCGAGTTGTACATAAGTGCATTGGTTGTCAAAAATGGCAGCTGCTGTTCTACATAAATTCATCTTTGACTCTGCCTGATGAATATGATGAACGTATGCAGTCTTTGGAATACAACACAGCATTTCACAGGCCATCCGTGGCATCTACTACGTGTACCTCCAAGCCTCATGCTGTTGAAAAGGCCGAGAGCTTGTTAGATACAGCCTTAAAGCTCAGTCACTGGTTTGCTGTTTACTTCAGTCTGTTTCATTACTGGTTTATTGGTATTCTCTTGGAAACTGGAAATAGTGACCGTAGTCATGAAGTGAAGCTTGAATTCTTAGAGCAGGCAAATCCCATGCAAAATGTCTTCAAACTCAAGGACACATGCTGGACAGACAAAAAAGAGATCATCTTCAACTTCAGCAAGAACTCCCATCTCATTTTCTCAGTCTTCAGTCCAAACAGTGTCCAAGTCTGACTTTGAAGACATTCAGCTCTTGTTTAAGGAGAGAGTTTTGTAGAAAGTACAAGCTAAATATCCACTTTGTCTCACTGCTACCATCCTTGGTAGGACAGGGTGCCATTATTGTTAAATGGAAAGTTCAAAAATCAAGCTTTGCTGATGGTTAAGTGTAATGTCCATCCCTCAAACTGACAATGTCCGTCCCTCACATTTATTTTAATGGCTCAAAATTAGAATTAGATTACTGTAGCTCAATTTATAACTCACTAACTGCTTTTTTATTAATTAGGATTTAGTTATTTTGGGTAAAATACTTCCTAAAGCTTTGTTTTTCAAAAAGAGTCACATTTACGTCCGTCCCTCACACTTAATTCAACCCAAATGTGAGCTTTCCAGTAAGTGCCAGTGATTTAAAATCTTGTCAGTTGAGGAGTTTGAAACTTGGAAACATTCTCACCTTTGGTTAATATAAATCAAAACATGTGGACTTAGGTGAAGGTGGCCCTGAAATCTTCTTTAACAAATACAAACAAAACAACTATGATATGTGGCCAACTTGCACAGGTGTCGGGGCAAAACACACACATATTTTACTGAGAATAGGCATTCAAGAAATCTTAAGCAGAGCAATTAATGCATTGATGTCCATCCCTCACGTGAGGGACGGATTTGGATCACGTTCCATTTTTATAAAAATGAGGAAATGACAACATGTTGTGTTTTCAGTCAACACGCGATGCTTACATGTACATGTATTTCTGCATATTCCCTACAGCACTTGCGGCAATTTATGCATGCACATCTGGTTTCAATCTGGTTTTAATTTGAGACAGTACATTATACTGTACATGTTGAGTTCGAAACACATGCATATGAACACACCATACAAGGAGCCACTAGGCTGACGAGTTCCTGTACATTCCCTTCCCGGTTTCCCTACCACAAGCACACTCAAGCATCACAAAGGCAATTAACATCAAAATAAAATTAACCAAACACCTGACGAGAGTTTGACCAATTACCTGTATCAACCTCAATACCTACAAATACATGTAGATTCAAATATACGTCCACATTTACTAAAAGCACATTAAAAATAACATATACCAACTGCACATCTTACAACAAATAAAGTTACTTCTTGTAAATGTACCAGATTTCTCTTTTATGTTACCTTTGCCTCTTTATAGGGCAGCTGCTTTTTACAATATCTGCATTCAATCACTCTCATGGGGCATTCCTTCTCCAAATGGTGGGCTAAGTCTGCTCTTCTTAAAGTTTTACCGCATCCGGACTTCAAGCACTTGATTCTTTCAACCGGACATGAAGTTTCATGGTCCTGAAAATGGAACACATAACTACTGAAGCATATGTATATGTGCAAACATGTAAAATCCGACAGATGCACTAGGGTAGGAGTAACATTGATGCAGCAATCTCATGAAGATTAAAAAAAAATTAACATCAGAAAGATTTGTCTGTGAAAACTAGCTTTTGACAAAATCTTTCAGTTTACAACTGAAGTCAGCAGAAGGAAAGCAATTCAGGGAACTTTTTCAAATGAAATTCCCAGGATTATTTACAGGTATGGCCTGTAAACAAAGTCCATTGAATTACTATGCCATGAGGAAAAAGAAAATCCTACCTGACTGTATTCTTGGAGTTTACCGGTCCAGGTACAACCTTCATTAATGCATTTCACTGGAGCATTTTTAATCTCTTTTCGGGCAACAAAATCTGGGTATATCTGTAAGGACAATCCAATAGATCTCTTCAACAATCACTGAGAAAAACCATTAAAATATGGCCACGTTTAATGCTTTGGTATTGTAAAATATGCACATATTTTTACTTAATCACTTTTAACCCTAACAGTCCTGAATCCTCCAATTTCAACATGATCCCCCACACACCCTAGGGAGTTAGGGTTAATGTGTTTATGTGATTAATACCTCCGCCCTAAGGTACATGAACATGTTATTGTGATGTGTCTTTTACTGATAGTAGTGATTTCTAGACTCTGGGAAAAACATTCCTGAAACATAACATTTTCTTGTATGAACAACCTCTGTGGTAATGTCGCATAAAATAATCAGACATCAAACTGCAAAATTTGGAAAATTCCCAAATTTTCCTGATACGTTTTGAAAAACATATATATTGCATGTTCAAAATTCCTGGAAATCCAGTAGCCCTAATGGTTTATATATATGCATGCTACTTGCAGACCGAATGCTCTGGATTACAGGTACATGGATATTTAACACACTTTCATATGTTAATGTTGCTTTAGCCTGTGAGGAATGAACAGGTCTGTGATGTGTTTGTGGATGTAGTGAGTCACCTGCCTGTCTGGAAGCCTCCTTCTTCAGACATTTACTAAACAGTCTGGATGACGCATTTCCATGCACATACTGCACACATGGAATGCCTTGGTCGTTCATGGAGAATTCATTCGTGTACAGGTTTCTTTACATCACCACCACAGTTGTAACATGTTTGGGTACATGAGGTGCATTGGACATGTACTGTACATTTCATCAAATGAAGTGAGACTGGAAATTTTCAAAGATAAGTCGGACCAATCTATGACATGGAGCTGCTGCCAACATCTACATGTAGCTCAAGTATAACAAGGCTACTGACGATAACTTGAGTGCACCAGAAATTTCTTTCAAAAGATTTTAACTAAATTTGTTTCCCACATATACATGTACATGTAGATAACCAACAACCCCCAAAATCCCTCATACTCTCAAAGTACACACATGTGTCACATGTTCCCCCGAATAACATGCACATGTACATGTACGTTCAATGTTTCACTCACAAAATTATATACCCCGTTTCCAGAGACGGTATGAACTGTGCATAATGATATACATGTACATGTACTGTTATTATCTCTCTGCGACCAACAACTGACACCAAAGCATGTTCTAGATGGAAAGGTTAAATATGTCTTGGCATTATCAGTTCACTTTCAATTCTTGGAATGAGATGAATGTTAGCAATGTTTGAATTTAAAGATGCTATCAGACACATATTTATAAACCCTTTCTGAAATTTAAGCATTTCTGAGAATATGAACACTTACATTTGTATGATGAGGTTTGATCTGATTAAAATTAAAATAACCACAGATGTTCCCTTAATGTAAGATTTTTATTAAGGGTGAAATGAACCCCTATGTACATGTACATATACATGTACATATAAATGTCATACCAACCTCCTCTTCATTGAGAATGCCTTCCGCGGAATTCTCTGGGCATGCAGGACACCGATGCTCTGCTCCACTCTCCCTAAAAGAGCAATTCACATGATTCAAGGAAAGATGGATAATTTAAACACAACACCCAAATTGTACATGATTTTGGGACTTCTGTATTGTAAACATGGTAAAGATCATGGATGGTACAATGTACATGTACATGTGCTGGTACCGTAATTTTTTAACAAATTCAACTCAGAAATTACATTTCAGCATTATTGAAAGGTACATGTAATCAATGAAACTTTACTCGAGCACATGTTCTTATTCCTTTTAACTTAATGAGGAAAGAATTAAGAGACCACACAACAAAATGTGGTACCAGACACAGCTTTGCTGGGTATATTTAGATAGATTTCTTTGACTGAAGTGAACTATTTCTGCGGTTCGCTCTTTGACAACTTAACCACTTGCTGCTGGGGGACCCATTTTCGAGTACCCGAAATCAAACAAAGGGGACTGGGCCTTGTAACAAAAGACCGTATTTGGAACAAAAGACCAGACTGCATTTTGTGATTCTCAATCTTCAATAGTGGAGATATTCCAGCCTGGTTTTGAAACAGTATTCCACGGTTTGGGGCATTTAGAGTGAGCGGATTACCACAGGGGACAAAAGTGCTCCATCACCTCAGCAATGAGCCACACAGCACCGTTGCACGCTAATCTGGCCCCTATTGAAAAGAGGTCAGCACTCAGCAGTGCACTGTGCCAGGTTCGTGAACAAAAGAAAGTTATGTAACACCGCACAATATGGGCTGTCTTTATAAGGCTGCAGGCCTGGCTGAAATACTCGGGCGTCAATAGGTTTGTCTGTCAGACTAGAGTGGCCACCAGACAGTAATTTGTGTGGGTGTAAACATCCATTAATTGAAATGAAGATTTTTTGAAGAATTTTTAAAGAACTTTGAAAGCTGAAAATCTTGGAAAAGTCCTGATAATGTGCACTGCATTTTTTCAAACCACCCGGCAGCAAGCAGTTAAAGGGTACAAGCAGCTGCAATCGGTTTGTTTTAGTACAGACTACTTTCAAAGTGCACCTTTGTGTCTCAGTTTAAACTTTTGTGTCACCACATGTATTTCAAAGGGTATGTACATGAACATGTACATGCCTTTTGGCTTTTATGCTGACAAGTATTTCCATATTCATGAAAAACTGTGATGTCATCTCAGGAAGAAAGCTTCAATGTTACATTGGTTTGTATGCAAAACCATCTTGCATTTTTGCAAGGATTTTGCTGGACTAAATTGTCTCTTCTTTGCTGATTCATTGTTGTTTGTGTAAATTGTAAACGGTAAAATCCAAGAAATTTGGAAGATCACACCGTATGTACACATCAATGTACAGTACAAGATTTATGGAATAGCACACTGTAGGCACATGAATAGTGCACTTGAGCGGGTTTAAACATGCAGGATGCTTGGGTATACATGTAGCGTGCAGTGAGCCTGTGTAATGATCATCATGCTTTCTGCATGCATACCAGGTGGGGTAATAGATTTGAAGTTCGGTACAGAAATGAACATTTGGGGTGCAAGGGGAAAAGTTTCTTCCAGGACAAAGGAACTCACCTCCGGATCTTCTCCTTGATGCAACTGTCACAATATCGATGACCGCATGGATTCTGCACTGCGTCGCGATAAACCATCAGGCAAATGTAGCATAAGAATCTCTCTGCAAATGACGGCTCTTGGAAAATTTCTTTTGGAAAGCCTGCCATGTCTGCAGAAGATGGTCCAGTTGTTTCCTTCAGGTTATTCCTGATATATATGTCAAAAGACCTGCTCTACAAGTATGGCTTAAAGTATTGTTCAGTGTGTTCACTGCTGTAACGGCCGTCTTGTGGCGCGAGACTATGTATCTCAGGAAGCACTGCAACGTCTTACCGTTCATAGATTCAAGAGATGGAAAATCTCCTCAAAATAAAGGTCCTGCCAAAACAACAAAGAGGGAGGTTTTTATCTCAATAAAAGCTATATTAAATGCTCATATTTAACTTACAAAATGGAAAACATTTCTAACAGGTGTACACATATGATGAGGATTCATTTCTTGTTGTGGATGTCGACTAAATGTCACAGATATTGAAACTGTCCACACAACAAAAAAAGTAACATAGCTACGTGTACAGCATAATAAAAATAAAACCTGCTCCTAATGGTACAATGTATGGTGAACTACCAGCCCATACATTTCTAGTAATTTACATTTTACAGTAAAGGTTAAATAAATACCTCTGTGGACCATGTCAAGGACGGTTGGATATATAAATGTATGTGCACATGCAACATTCTTACTGTAGTCCACTACATGCATATTTCAAAAGGAATGAAAATCTCTGCCTTTATTTTCCCAAGGCACCTAATGCGTACATATTATAGATGCACATGTGGACTGCTGGAAATCCCACAGTGTTTTTCTCCTTAATGTCACCATGATACCAGTAGGGATGTTGGACGGTGTTTGAAGCAAGTTCTACACGTCATTCTTCATTAGTAACATCTTGAATTGTGCCCTTTTGATGAGCATCTAATGTATGAGTTTTTCTTCTTCGCTAATTCTTTACATTCGCCCACTTCCTTGGACGGAAAAATGGGACAGGTGTCTTGGTGGTAGTTCTTGTTGCATACGTAAAAGGCACTCCTTTGACTGCTGTAGGGACCGCGGTTTTTCTTCTGTCCCTTTGATAGACACGCTCAATCCTGGTAGAAAAGGAGTCAGTTCATGGAGTTCATTTTCTGTCATTCTTGTCGAGTTTGCTGTGAAGTTCTTCAGACTTGTTTTGTCATCTCCCTTCAGGCTTTGCAGGGAGGGCACACGATTGTGTTCAATGGTCGCTTCCTTTTTGATAAATTTAGTGAACTCGCAGAAGGCTAAACTTTGTTCCTACCAATATCTGCAACCTGTCCGGCCCATCTGCTTAAAACAGTTAGGAGCTTTTAGCTAGAGTATGTTTCTGAGTACATACATGTACCTCAGCCTAGGCAGTATAGAATTGCTTTCGTCCTTGTCAGAGCGTGATATGGAGAAAGTCTACATGTACATGATTACTCGCGCGTTGGAAAAACTCGACCGTTAAGACAAGTCGTCCGTCAAGTCAAGTCGACTTCGGCCTGAAGACAAGACGTACGTGGCAAGCAATGCTAAGCTGTAACTTGCCACCACTGCTTCACACAAACTAGTCCCAGGTGATGTGTTTGGGTGAAAATGCACGCATTTCCTGCACAGGCGACTAGTGCAATGGATGGTACACACTGCACGCCTTGGAAAGACGGCAGCCGGCCGCATCCCGCACGCATCGCATGTGCGAGGAATTACCGGTGCTGACTTAGACTGAAAAGTCAAATTTCACGGAGGTTATCGTGTCCAGGACCGGGAAATTTATTAAATAGCTAGACACACCTACGAGTCGACTTGTTTGAACCATGGAGAAATAAAACACATATTGAACGGAGTGTCTCGATGGTCGCGTTGTCTTTCGGTTTGACGCACAGAGGGGTCGAGTTGTCCCAACGGATGAGTTGTCTGGACCCCGCGGCTGATCCTTAAATGATAAAATCTTAGATACAGTCGTTAAGTGTAGAATCCTCACCTCTATTCTTGTAAAAATCAGTTTGAGCATCACAAAAGCAGTAGGCTATGGGCCTACGTGTACGTGGACAGCGTACATGCATTCGCGTGCGGGATCAATGAACATGACCGCGCACCGAGATTGACGGCTTTTTCCTATATAAACATATTTTTTCAGATTAATATCAGTCATGAAATAGTCGTTGAAACGTCCGCCTGCCATTTTGAAAAAGTTTACCTTCTTTGTCGGAACCGGACAAAACGCAGTCTTCTCACAGCAAAACAAGTTTATTATTACCTTCTGGAACAAATTTTTTGATGAGGCTGAAAAAAGTCTAATTGTTCATTTTCGTTTCGTTTGGCGCAACTTACGCCACCTAAAATGACTGCACAAGTTACGCCACAATTCGTTGCGTAAGTCACGTAGCGGACTAACGCGCATGTGGCGTAGGCCTAAGTGGAGTTACGCCATAGCCTAAAGTTTTGTGAAATCAGCTGCTGGTCGTGTTGAATACGAAAATGACGCTGACTGGCTATTCAGGACGAATACATAAGCCATTGATGTCCATTATGTCTTTACAATGGAGATCAATGACATGAACGTTACGTGAAAAAAAGGATAATTTTCACAATTATGCTTTGTCGTAAAATTGACATTTTCCACTTTCTTTTATTTTTTCCGGCGATCTCTCTCACCAGAAGCTATCAAATATTACCATTTGATAGACTCTTGGCAATTTATTCACATACGAGGTCTTCAAGGGGAATGATAGTACAAATCCCTCACACGGGTCACCATCTAGCCTAGGTTGGACGTTGTCTTTATTTCATCATGATCACGACTGACGTCCAGGGTATAAAATTTGTGTACGAAACGACCACAAATTTGGTTCTAATTTGTTTACCTTGTTGAAGAAACTAATTTTTCACGGTTACAAGTTCTTCGTGGTCTTATCTTTAGAGAATTTCAAAACGAACCATGGACTGCAAAATCGAGGAAAATGAGAGAGAGACAACGTTACTTTTGTAGATGTAGTTCATCCGTTCTCGCGTCTAGTTGTAAAGTGCACGCACGTACAGTACAGGAATCCGACTGCGTGCACACAACGCGTGCGCGATTTCCAGTGAAGGCCTATTGCACACCTGCTACACGGAGGCCGTGACTGGTACCCGGCTTTAACCCGCGTGCCGTCGAGCCCATATAAAAATGCAGTTCCGTTTTTGTCGGATCGAGGGCTTAAGACTGACCAATTAACCCACTATTGGTTACCCCTAAAATGTTGACATTTTGTTCCGCTTTAAATTTCGGTTTATAAACATAAATTTGCGACACAAGCTTCTATTTTGTAAAAATAAGCTCGGTTAGCGTAGAAGGCCTTGTATGTGCAGGGTTCTTGTAGTTGTGCGGCAAGAAGTTAATCAACGATCTCTCTTTGAAGTGTTTAACATGTTTAATTTGTTTGTAGAGATTTATTTGTTAAAGATGCATATCTTACAATATTGTACAAATCCAATTTTATTAGAATGAAACAGTAACTTATCCTAATAATTGAGGAATAAAAAGAGCATTACATTGCGGGCATGATGATTGTGATGAACAGGCGAGAGCGCTGCTATACTGATTGGGAACACAGTATGCAGAGGCAGTACTGGCGCGCGCATGTGCGATAAGTAGCGATCACGCACAAATCGCGCTGTTGATCAGCCTTTCTTTTTTTTTTCGTAAACTAAACATATAATAAGCAGACTGAATTGGTAACTGGAAGTGACGAGTTGGATTTTAGAGCAATGGACAGATAGCTAGACTGTGTCGAAGTTTTTAAACCTCATAGTAGGAGATTTTTTGTTTTTATATTAAGGGCCAAGAGATTGTTAATCGCCGTTTTGACTCGTATCAGTCTACCTTATCAAAAAAATTTATCTAGCCAGCGCTTTCTGGAAAAGTTCTCCATCTCTAAAAAATGTATCCGATATAACTTTTAAAATGGAACAAATCAACGGATATTAGTAAATTGCTAGCAACAGAAATGTGCCAAAGCCTTACTGGATAATAGCCTCTCCCCTCGGCACGGGACTGCCGGATCCCATAACTTCTATCGAATTTTGTGGACACCTTTTGTCCGTCTATTTTAAGTCCACTTGTTAAAATATAATACATGCTAAAAATGGCCAGATTTTGTACAAATCGTGAATTTTAACTTTCCCGTACTGGCCGTGGTAGACTCAGCTTGCGTGCAGGTAACTAAGCCAACTGTCATCAACGCACGCCACAGTCTCGCCCCCCTGACCGATGTTGTGTGTACTATCACCATGTTACACTAGCACATGTTGTATTGCTACCTAAGTTCAATGCACGGATTGACCTTCAACAGTAGAACCGCTTTCCAAGTAATGCA